AATACCATGACAAATAATATTTGTCAACTCACTTGGTTGTGTGAAGAAAATTCCCAAGCAAAATAAACTTTTATTAAATTTTGTTGATCACCTCTTCCTAATGTAGTACAAATCACGTAGCGATCATTATCACAAAGATTCCCTTTTTAAAGCATCTCTATCCATATTTGTTCAAAATATTCTTCTGAATCACAGTTACTCATGCATATTAAAACAGATCACTTATTACTCTATTACCAATGGACAATATACATTTGAAGCTAATTTCTTGAATATATGTTATTAGCATAATCTATGAAGAGTGTGTGACAATGATTCTTTTAGCTTCATGACATTGTTTGATCCTGGTCAGTGAAGATTGTTAATGGATGTTTGTCACCCATTATACAAATAAATATCTTGAATAACCGATTGAAGGACTCGATAGTCTCCTAAGATAAAAATTCTATTCCAAAAGGACATTTTGTTAGTACTGATTAACCCAACAAAAAGACCACAACATAAATTATATTTATCAATCAATAACTTGTATCAAAAATAATGACATCCCCAAAGCAGTCATAATCAACACTTGACATGTCATCGCTCCCAACAAAGCTCATCAACCGACCTGATTCATCAGTCTGAAATCTCATGCAAACATAATATCTTCAACTTGTATCTCTATGAACCACTGAATTAAAGATTAGTGTCGTCATTCTAAATCCCCGTTCTTCTTTCCTTTTGAAGAAAATTGAATGCAACTCTTTTTGAAAATGTCAAATTTTCAGCTCCACCAACTTCCATTATAATAAAGTTGAATATATCAGTATCTCAAATATTTGCTTTTGTCATTGATTTGAGCACATCTCAATTAATGTCGCTGATGCTTCGGCTAGATCTCAAGAGATGCTTATCACTTGGCCGAATAGAAAATGATTATAACTTTCTATAAATTTTCTAACATTTCAATTGCCATCAAAATTAACATCATATCGAAACATAACTGGACAATATGTCCTGCTCTGTTAAACTTCACAGTGTTTTTGAGAGGTTGCTCCTTTTTAAAACCAATTTTAACACAAAAAATATTTACTTTTTATTTTTTAGTTTGGCCAAAAAACTAACATAATCCTTTCGCACAGTATATCTAATATAATATGCATAAACACAATAAAATTTATATGCATCATTTTTATTTTGCACAATGGTGTCAAACAATTTGTCCACAATTGGATCATTACCCACATTCCTTAACTAGCTAATTTGTGCATGCCTACATGTGGTTCAAGAAGTGTTAAGAGTAACAACAATCACAGAATATCACACATAAAACAACCTTCAGTAAACACCCCTAGAAGCACAAAAAAACCCTAATAAACAAATTGAATACCACTGGAAAAACACCATTAAACGCACAAAATACAACCATAATACAACCAGTAAACAATCAGAATACCACAAGTATAAGGTCAAAATACTGCAATAATACAATCAAAATATCATGAAAGTAACACCAAAATACTACAAAAACAATAACACTACAATAATGTCACCTGAATACCACCAAAGTGCCACTAAAAAACCACTAGAATATCTCCAAAAAACCACCAAAATATTGTTAGAATACCATCAAAATGCCACCAGGATATTTTAGGGGTATTCTTATTGTAGTATTCTTGTGGTATTCCAATGGCATTCGCATGGTACTCTTGTGGTATTATTGTGGTATTATATTGATAATTATTGTGGTTATATGGTGTAGTTCTGGTGCAATTCTCGTAGTATTCAGGTAACATCATTGTGGTATTTTAGTCATACTTTGGTTGTATTATTGTGATTATTGTGATATTGTTATGATATTATGGTGACATTAATGTAGTATCTAATGGTATTACTATGATACACCCATTACAATAAGGTCATATTGTGATCTCATTAAGGTGGTATTTTGGAATTATTTTGACGGTATTGAAGTATTCTTCTGGTAGCTTTTTGGTTGTATCATGATCATAATTTGTCTTCGATTTATTTTGTTTTTTCTCATAAATGAACCAAACAGTCGCTCCTCCCATGAAAGAAATAAATTAAATTTCATTATTATATATATATATATATATATATTCAAAAACTATAAAAATACTAGGTTTGGGTAAAATAGTAGAAATCCATACCAGAAGGCGAGTTAAGTGAAACTACAAACAAAATTTCATTAATTGAAATACATAAAACAAATCCTAATGAATGTTACTATTTTAAAACTAGTGAAACTCACCATTGTTTCGTTATTGTCATCGAAGTCTTCATATTCCATCTTCAAAAATGTTATGTTATGTTGTTCTTCGAAAGTAGCAGAGGAATATAGCTTAAACCCTAGTCGTGGGAAAAAAAACTCTAGCCAAGAAAAAGAAAATGAACAGTGCGCGGTTATGAACAACACGCGTTTTTTTTTTCCTAGGTATTCAAGCGGTCTTTGGGCCAAGTCGTGCAGAAATATGTATTTTTAAGGTGGCGAAAATGGAGCCCACCACTTTACATGAAACAACATTTAAAAGCACAGAGTTTGTAATGTCGAGCTTTTGTAGTCTTAGATGCTTAGAATGACATAAAATCATTGCTATACTAACAAAAAATGTATAATCTATTCTGCACGTGAGTTTCCATGATTTTGGGGTGATTGAGGAAAGTGCATTCGTACTTTCAGAAATTTTTAGAAGTACAAAACAAAAGCATTACCAAATGAAGCTTAAATGGCTAAAAGCTCCAAGGGATTAGTTCGGTTATTTTCAGAGTAACCAAAAAGACAACCTGCACAAAGCACTCTTAGTCACATTTTTCATGCCTGCTGACAACGAATAGATAGGGTTTTGATAAGATGAGGGTTAGACAGTAAAAAATAAGCTTAACACCAACATAGTACTCTGCGGTATAGCCTAAGAAGTTGTAACACATAATCAAATAAAGGAAACGTGAATAGGACGGTTTTAAATGTCACAAACATATAAAGTTTATCATGCCACTTTTCAGGGCCACAACAGTCCAAAAGAGAAAATAAATTGTTCAAATGACATCATCATATTGAGTGGCATAATCATGTCTTAACTAAAACAGAATGCCCACTGAGACGATTATACTGAATGATTTAATAGTTGATCATTTTGAGAAGACAATAACACCTATTGCAAAACTCTAGCATACACATTTATCAGCAATAAAATATGCAGCTATCTTCTAATATATCTAAAAGTAAAAGAACCATTTATTTATTCAAATTTGCTTTCTGGTTTTGTTTTCTTTCATGACAAAAGGGATACAGACATTGAACCAAAATTTTAAATTTGTTTAGAGAATACTTAATTAAAAAGGGGGTTGGAGTGTGAAGTTGGATTCTAAGATTTAAAACAACACAAATTAAAGGAATAATCAGATCTGAAAAATTGGCTGGCAAAGAATACTATATATATCAGGTTACATGATACTGTCATTTCTGCCATAACGAGTCTTCAAAAGTGCAAAAGGCCATAGAGCTTTGAATTATAGGTGCAACAAATTTTATGATCCTCGTTAATCTTATTGCAATAACCTGATGACAGTTTTATGAATCCTTCCTCCCCTATTTACTCTAGGTCATTTATTTATTTATTAATATTATTATTATTATTTTGGTGATATGCTACAGTATACCATGCCGACACACCAAAAAAACTCTCATTTATTCTGGTTGAGTTTTTAGTAATTCAGAAAATACTTCTTACAAGAAGCACCCAGCTTAAGTTTCCCGCTTCTTCATTTTTCATACTCTTTCACAACTTTATCTCAGCACTTTAATAGACCATCATACACTCTCTATTACACATCCCAAACCACCATTTTTTTTCCTGCAACCTGCATTCAGTAATTATTGCTCTAATAACCTCTCAAATTTACACATCCTACCCAATTTTAGCAAGAATCCATCTTCATATTCCATCTAAAAAGTACTTAATTTAGTTGCAACCATCCTAGCCTGGAGGCCATAAAAAGCAACTAATTTATTACTTGTTAATAAAGTGATTTAAAGCCTTCAAAATATTCTTTTACAGCATAATATCCATGACACGGTGCCTGTAATAAATCTTTAATTCCATATGTTATCTCCTCGTTTACAACCCATGATTTTTGCCTAGCACTAACAGCCATTGAAAGCAACCAAATTTATTATATGTTTATAAATTTATTTAAAGTCCTCTAAATATTCTTTTACATCATAATACCCATTATGCAGTACCTATAATCAATCTTTTATTCCACATGTTATCTCCTTGCTACTACCCTGCCATCTTGCAAAATGCATCGAGATTCATCAAACCATGCAGTCACTTGATTATATTTATGTTTAGAAGTATAACATGAAACTCATCAATATTAATTTTATAACCACCAAAATTTCATAGCACTCATTTAATCTTTCGTCTACAAATTTTAAGATCCTTGATCTTCCAAATCTTGTTAACATTAATCCAATTTTTCATTTCAAGAGAATCTGAGCTATCAAAGGAACTAAAGATACTATATTAAAATAAATTAGATAAAAAAAAATGTTACTAAGTGCACAAACCATCACAGCCAATGCCACGTTATCAATTCCTCATTTAACTATTATTGGGTTCATTGACTTATTCAAAGACCATTGCCATCATAAAATACTTTTCATATGGCACTTTGCATTTTCCTAAAGATAAGCAGAATGTTTGATAAACTTATTGCACTGATAATTTGTTGATATTAAATGAAGCTTGGTCATTAGAGTTCAAAATAACTAATGACAAGTCTTTGATCTTTAATTCGGGTATTTAGTCAATTCAACAACCACCTGATATTATTCACTCTTTCTTTTAGAAAATCATAATAATGATTATTTAAGTACGAAAGAAAAAAAATAGCGAGTACAAAACCAAAATCTACAAGTATAATCAACATAAGATATATTTGCATCATCACAATAACGATGATCAATTGAAACACATAGCATGTCAAAGTACCTGATCACGCATCTGAACTCTTATCACAGGCCTTCTAATTTCTAACATGGGATCAGATCTAGAACATTTGGTAATGGTGAAAAACCTCCTCTTGCAAAGAGGACAGCGAGATTCCACTTTGGACCACTCCATAATGCAATAAAAACAGAAGTAGTGGGAGCAGCAGTTCAAAATTCCTTGAATGGTCCCTTTTTGCTCCTCAGACAGACAAATCCCACAAAGCTGTTTCGCTATATCAACTGTTTCTTTTTCCTTCCCTTTTTTTCCAGAACGTCCCTCATTTTTCCGCATATTCAAAACCCTCTCAGTCTTCAGATCCTTCACCTCATTTTCAGAAACCTCATAATCAGAATCAGTGCAATCGGATTCCACTGACGGTTGTTTCCTAGATGTCTTCGCATTCTTCCTCTCAGTCCTGTTAACCTTCCTCGGCATAGTAGGCATTGCGATATCATTGTCCAAAAGGTCTTCATTGGAGACCACAAAATCAGAATCTGATGTTTCAGAATCCACTTTTAATTTCTTCTTTCTCCTCACGGGCTTGGTTCTCTTTTTATTCTTAGGGCTATCCACCTCAACCCGAACCTTAGCGGAAAGATCATCATCAGATGTCAAGAAATCTGAATCAAACGAATCTGAATGGATTGACGATCTCTTTTTCCTAGCTGATCTGGACTTTACAGTCCTCTTGCTCACCTTCTTCGAATCTTTTCTAAGTCTCTTCACCGCAGTCCTGCCCTTTACAATAAAACTGTCTTCATCATCCGAGCTTGCCTCCGCTCTCATCCGCTTCCTCCTTACCGGTTCGGAGGCCACTTTACTCGATCTCCTATTAACCTTCGGATTTGAAGCCTTCCTCTTAAATTTCCTTCCTCCCTGTTTAGTAGCCCCTGCCCTCGCAAAACCACGGATCTCAACCAAGGCCAGCGAATCTTCTTCCAAATCCTCGTTGTCAGTCGCATCCGGCGAGAAATCCTCGTCCTCCTCGTAATCCTCGTCCTCCAAATCCTCGTAATCTGAAAGCTTGGATCTTCGCCGGCCGGAATAATAGCCTCTTCTTGACTTTGGCTTGGCATTAGGTATCTCCTCCTCCTCCGCAGCCGAACTAGCACTAGTATTTACCTCGCTAGCATCAAAGCTCTCCCCATTGGAACCATCGGACTCAAAGGAGCTTCCTTCCTCTTCCGCGACATAACTCTCGTCATCCTCATCTTCTTCCCTGTGATTCTTCTTCTTGGGGCGGCCAGCAGACCTTTTACATACTACTTTTCCTCCTCTCCCCATTTCATTAAGTCGTGACTCGTTAGCTATTAAGCGGCCATTGCAGTGATTCTTTTGTTGTTGTTTGCTAATAATTCCGCAACCGAACCACAAATTCTGGTAAAAGAATTGCAAGGCGTGTTGAGATGGGCTTGCGAGAACGAGAGTCGATGAAAGGATAGGGTAAGAGGAGGGAATATCGATCAGATAACACTGGCCAATTGCAACGGAGGAATCTAGAAAAAAAAAAAGGTGGCAACAGCAACAGAATAGGGTTGGTCTACAAGGAATGCTAACAGCCGTGAGAAGGAGAAATGGGCAAATTATGGATACCGGCGATCAGAAGAAAACGGTGCGAGCAGGTGACGAGATGACCATGCGCTGTGGCCCCGCGATGATGCTCGGGGGATCGTGAAATGGGTATAGTTGCTCCCTCCTAGGGTTTGCAGGAGGGTCAAGCTAACGGAGGCCTCATCTTTATTTTAATTATATCTGTAAATTCGGATTCATTATCGTCCTATTCAAACCTTTTTTCTTTTTCCTTTTATTTTTAAAAATATATTTAGTTTGTTATAATTTTATTTTTTATTTTTTTAAATGAACCTGTTTATTTAAAATACACTCAAAATAAAATAATATTTATATATTTAATTACTTTCTTAAAACATTCATCATCAATTATATTCTATTTCAAATAAATATATAAGTAAACAAATAATAATATATTAAGTGATTCCAAAATACCACTAACTTTTTTTTGCTCTAAATTTTAAAAATTGCTTGACAATATAGTTTAAAATTCAATTAAATTCAGGTAAATTATTTTATTACTTAATTTTGATTTAAAATGATATAAGATCTTGACATCTTATCGTATTTATTTTAACTATATTAATCTTCAATCAAAGAAATAAATAGTAATTATTCTAATTAAATATTAATTTAAAAAACAAATAATAATTTAAATTATTGTTAAACTCAAATTCTTATGCCACGCTGAAGATATAGAACATAAGTAATGGAAAGAAATAAATAAATAAATAATCTCTAGAGTACAATACTAGTGATATTTCCCATGCCTCTTCCTAAAAAAAAAATCACATTTATGTGTTGTTATTCATATCTCTTGAAATTTTCTAATTTTGAATAGTCTTCAAGATTATCATTATTATGGTTGAATTTCTCTCGTCGTACCACCATTTTGCTCTCTCTTCGGCTCACGAGTTATTTATCAGCTTATTCAGCTGACCTTCTTAATTCGATCGTCAAGATCATCTACCTTGTGTTAACTGTAGCTCAATGTGCTCATCGAGTTTGATTCCCCAACATGTGCCTTGTCCTTAGTTGTCTTATATATATATATATATATATATATATATATATACACACATTAATCCAAGCTTGTCCTGTAACGAGCGTGCCCTCTTGAGTCGAAATTCAAAGAGGAAGGGAGTAAGAACCCACAAAAAATGAACCCCCATTGAAAAGTGATGTGAGAGCTTGTGTTTAATCCTCTTAGGACAATGTATTTAAAGGGATTTAATTAGTAAAATTAAGGGAGATGGGAACCTCTATGGAAACCACCCCTAAATATAATCGATGTGTATAATTTGAATTAATGAACGTCATAATATTGACAAAAACATTGATTTGCAGAGATTTATGAGTTTGAATGTCGTCGACCAATGAATAACCGATCGTATTGTTTGGTCGACCGGAATCTACCTCTGCCAAGAGGGGGTAATATGTTGGTGTACATAAGATAAACCATCATACTAAGAGGTATGGTCGGTTGGTTCTGCGTGACCTGTCGCTTTGGTTGAGCGATCGACTAAGGGGTCGACTCATATTGTTGGGCGAGTCATGGCTCACTTGATGTTTCACTCAAATTTTACTGGGTCCACTGCCCTGCTTGATCTTCCATCTTGCAAGATCTCGAGCGGTTCTTGTCGTTGCAAGTGTCGAGTGTCCTACAGGACTAGCCATCGTGACAATTTGTGTCTTACTATTGGCTGGTCTTACTGCTACCAAGTAGGGGACAATCTCCGGAGCTTTTGACATATTCTGAGTTTAGAGACGCAAATTCTCTTGTGTGGCATTGAATAATCGGTCAAATAGCTTACTGTAGAGGGGAATTTGGTATCCTCAGTTGTTCGTTATCTTTGAGATTCGTGCTGGTAGTTCTGATGGTGTGTGTGTGTGCTGCTCAAAAGAATAGTTAGCAGTTATTATATGATTCTCCAACCACTCCTAATGTGTCTAACAATTCAAATACCACTTTCTTAGGTCAATTGTGTCAGAGGGAATTTGAACCTCCGACCTGAGGGGTCTTATACTATGGATGCCAACTAATAGGCAGGGGTATGCGGTTGATGCTCGCGTACACACACAATATATATATATATAAAAAGATTGATCCCAAAGTGCGTTTGTGATCCACCCGTGGCCTCGAACCCGGGACCCCAGGGGTCTTACAAATTATTATATATATATATATTGTTAAGATTAGGGCGAAGAAAAACAGTAATCAACACAAATCCAGAAGAACACCAAGATTTAACAAGGTTTGGCAAAGATGTCTACGTCATCGGGAGCAAAGTGACGGTTTTTCCACTAATACAGTAAAAAAGTACATGATACAGAATATGAGATAAAACCTAGGATTACATACAAGCTTATTTATAATCCTAGAAAACTCTGAAGTACAGTATGTAATTATCAAATTATTCATGTACCTCACTTCCAACGCACATAAGGAAACTCCTCTGATTTGGACAAAATATTCCGCTTCGCTCCAACATTTGTCCCTTTATGATATATGAGTCATATTTAATATATATATATCATTTATTAACTTCAAATGATAAAATTTTCATTAACTTATTAACTGTCAAGATTAAATTAATTGTTTAAGTAATGCGCATATATATAGTTTTTATTTTATTTAAATAATTTCATTAACAAAATTATTATCAATTCTAATTTTATTAATCTATAATTATCTAATACTAATATTCATACTAACATGTAATCAGTAATTTATAAAACTTATATTCAAATTAAAATTAGCTTAATCAAATTATGTCACAAATAACTTTAATTCATTTAATTAATTAACATTAATTAGTAATAAAATTTTAAATTTAATCAATATATATTATTTAATTGATTACAATGTTTTTATAATTAGTGAATTTTCTTATCATGCTAATTATTTTATATATCTGAATAAATGTGAATAAGTAGATGCATAAATAAAAGTAGAGGTAGGATAGATAAATAATAAATATGAACAAATAAAGATATAAGTGAAATTAGAGTTATAAAAGAAAATTAAAAGCTATAAATATTTTAAATAAAATAATGATTATTATTTTTAACCTAGTATTAAAATAACGGATTATACTATTCCTAATAACATATACATATTATTAACACTAGCTTTTATATTATTATTAATATATAACATATTGAGATATGATATAAGTTTATTTAAAACAAATCTTAATGTTTATGTGATGTATATATATATATATATAATATTAAAATAATAACAACAACAACATGTTTTTATAATTATAGTAAATTTTGAATAATTTTATTGATGTTTTCTTTTATTTTATTTACTCGTGTTATTTCAAGTAATGGTAAAGCACAAATTAAATAGACATTATTTCTCTTTTGAGTTATTGATTTTAGGCATGATGATTATTTTAGATTTATTCTTTTGACCATCATGATTATAGATACTTTCTTAATAGAAATATTATGTGAATGAGAAGATGTGGATTTTTTAATGGGGTTTTTACATATGGAGGTCTCCAAACTATGCAGTTTGCAGTTGAAAAACCCAAGAGATTTAATTTACACTCCAAGGACTCCATCACGACTCTGCACCGATGGATCAACGCTGGCTATGTAGAAAGTGTCAATGATCTTCACAACAATGAGGCCGGAGATAATGAAGAAATCTTCCAAAAGCCCGACATTCGGCTTCATTCTCGTCCGCATCTTGTATTCGAAGGAAGAGATTGGTGTCAAAGTAGGGGAGCGTGGTGGCGATCCCGATGGCCGACTCTTGGTCTGAATGATGGCAATTGTGCATTAACCTTATTTGCACCATAACAGTTAGCGTTGCTCCACCTGTATTCATTCAGAGATGATGACTTTTCTGACAAACAAACTGAAGCTTCACCGGTTAGATTCTCTTTCATTTTGCAAATCTTCTCCTCGCCGGCAGCCGAATTCGATCGGTATGGCGAATCATCATCCATCCTAAAGCCATCAAAATCCTCCTCTGCCGAAGAAAAAGGTTCGCTTCATCAAAATCCCCTACTTCTATGCCGACTTAAACACCATTTAAATCCACTCCCTCTTCAGCGGCTAAAGCTATATTTTTCGCTTTCTTCGTCTCCGCCAGCGGTATTTCATCAGTGAATCTGAATTCTAATGAGGATTGCAAGGAACAGAGAGTCGTAGAGAAAGACAGATTCTTTATGAAGTTCTTTAGGCTTAAATTAAATATTTTGGGGTTTTTAGCTGTAAATTGTAAGAGTTTGGGGACTTTCATATGTAAAAAACTCGTTATATATATATATATATATATATATATATATAGTAGAGACACATATGCACCCTTCATATATTATTCACGTGTTTTCATGTTTGATACAACTCCAACAAATTTTCATCATCGTGCACAAAATCTTGAGGCATAACATAAATCTCGAGGCAATATTTTGAGCAAAGAATATTCAAATCTTGATAAAAAGTCATTCAAAGTTCTGATTTCAGTAAACTTATGATCAAATTGACCGACTCGATGAGACGGACCTAATGATATCAAAGTTAGTCCAATTCCAGTTAAATCAAGCCCAGATCAAGTCATTAAATCATTCTTGGATGATGTTCGGAGGCATTTGAAAGGTCAAACAGATGTCAAATCTAGCGAGTTCATAATCAAATCGAGCGTCTAAACAAGACGAATCCAACGAGCCTAATATTGCTCAATTCTGACATCGTTAAGGCACTCATATGTCCATCAAATCACATGATCGAGGGAAGCTCTTCGGACCGTCCGATCAAAATGTTTCATATTTCTGCATTAATTGCAACCAAAACACTATAAATAGAGTTCCACCCTTCACACGAGGGAAAAGAGGCTTGAGAGATAACTTGAGGCTTTGAGAAAGTGCTCAAGTCCAACATCATTCCTGTCACCGTCAACCTTCATCGACCACCACCGATCGTCGGCGACCACCGCCGACCTCTGTCGACCATTGTCGGCCACCGTCGATTACCGTTAATCACCGCCGACCGTTGTCGACTACCGCTGACATCCGTTGACCACCACCGATCGTCTGCAACCACCGCCAACCTCTGTCGACCACCGCTGATCATCTTCGACCACCGTCGATCACCGCTGATCTCCATCAACCACCGCCGACCTCTGTCGACCACCCTCGACCA